CAACCGGCAACTCGTGGCGCATGTCGGGCGATATTACACGTAGGACTCCCTTTTCTTTCCCAGCACTAGCTTCCCCTGTCAACCTCGTCCTTTCTCTCCTTCCTCCTCATTCTTCCCCTCCGCTCCCTCCAAGAATCAAGCACTAACCAGAGAATGCAGCAAACTGGACCCGCATCGCCGAGATTGCCAATGAGAACTCCTTCCTCATGAACTACGCCAATTTCTGGGGGCACCCCGACCCGGACATGCTAGAAGTCGGTAACGGGAATTTGACGCTGGCTGAGAACCGTGCCCACTTTGCTCTCTGGGCGATCATGAAGAGCCCTCTGATTATTGGCACTCCTGTATGTCTTTGCCCCTCAGCACCCTGCAACCCCCCTCCCTTCTCCCCAGCAGACTCATCCACTACCCCAGAGCTAACCTCTTGGATACAAAAAGCTGGATTCAATTGACGCAGCCCACCTGGCCATCCTGAGTAACAAGGACCTGCTCGCCTTCAACCAAGATCCTCTAGTAGGCCGCCCCGCATACCCTTACAAATGGGGCTACAACGCCGACTGGACCTTCGACCCGTTGCACCCCGCCGAGTACTGGTCCGGGCCGTCGTCCACGCTCAACGGGACGCTGGTGTTGATGCTGAACTCCGAGGATCGCGCCCAGACCCGGACCGCGTACTGGAAGGAGGTGCCCGAGCTGCAGGGGAGACACCGCGGGCGCCGCGGGACGGGGTTCCGGGTGCGGAATGCCTGGACGGGCAATGATCTGGGATGTGTCCGGGATAAGTATAGTGTCAAGCTGGCGCCCCACGATGCTGCTGTTCTGGTGGTGGGCGATGCTTGTTAATTATTTGTTCTATTCAACGTTTGGTGGCCGGGCGGTGGTGCCTCAATTAGTCGAGTAGTGGTAGGTTGCTTAATGCTAGGCACAGACAGGAGATAGTAAGATGGCGTTTTCAGCAGAAGGAGGAAGGAGGGAGTATGTCATGAAAAAGCGGTGGTTCATGGTGACACAGTCATGTTTTCTATCTTCATTGTTTTTAACAGTGTGGTAAAAACATATCCTAATATTTTTCGGGGCCATTTTCCAAATGTCCATTCCACCCAATCCTGAAGGAAGGGAATAGATCAACGGAAAGAAAAATAAAGTAAATACCTAAATATGAACTCGTCCGAACCCAGTGTCACAGACAGCCAGTAGGGGATCCACATCCACATCCACTACAACACGACCCACGAGAGTCCAGGTCAAATTGCCCCTCATTACAACATTATCCGTAGTTACCGCACGTATCCCAGTTGACACAAGCATACAGCATGACCACCTCCCAGCTTCACCGCCACAGATCCTGCCGACTATCGCGTCGCCAGCCGCCACTACTCTTGGGCCGACCGTCCTCATCCTCGACCGGCACGGCCAGGAACCCGCCGAACCCGTTCCCGACCAGGACACTCTTTCGCGCGTCGCCGCCCCAGGTGCGACTCAGCTGGGCATCGTGGAAGCTCACGGGCCGCGTGGTGCTGGCGCGGCGTCCGCGCGTCGACGGCGGCTCGTACGGCGTGAAGTTCCACTCGAGCTCGTCCAGTCCCTTGCTGTACACGTTCAGCGGCTGAGCAAGACCCCCGTGGAAGAACTGCGGGCCCATGCCCTCGCCCTCGCCCTCGCCGCCGCCGAGCAGCCGCGGGGGCGGGGCGAGCAGCAAGGTCTCGGGAAAGCTCGAATCGCGGACGTACAGATCCCGGAGCGCGGGCAGCGCGTGAGACATGAGCGAGGAGATGAGGTATGTGTAGTAGGAGGCGGCGATGGGCGGGAGGTTGCCGGTTATAGGGCTGGAGGGGGAGGTGATCTCGTAGTGGAGGAGGGCGAGGGAGCGGGAGGCGAGCGGGGGCACGCGGTTGCTGTCGACGGGGAACGAGCGGGTGACTTCCTGATTGACGGAGAAGGAGCGGAGTTGCGGCGCCAAGGAGAGGATCTGGTGGTAGGTCGACGGGAGAACGCCGGTCGAGGAGAGGGTCAGGGAGTGGAGGGTTTTGCGGTTGAGGGGCAGAGAGAAGAAATCGACAAGCCCGCTTGCCGTGACGTTCGGGGTATCGCGGAGGGTGAGGCGCTGGACGGCCGGGAACGGGGGGAGAGTATCGGAGTAGGAGGGCGAGAAGGCGGAGTCGTCGAGCCAGGGCAGGTCGTCGAGGGTGAGATCCCGGAGATGGGGGAAGGAGGCGAGGCCCATCCGCAGGATGTGCGGCTCGATCTGCAGCCGGGATAGCTCGAGCACTTCCAGATTCACCCAGAGCGGCGAGTCGGGTAACTGCGAAAAGCTGCCCTCGGCCCCGTGGCGGTAGCTCATCCGGCGAAGATCCTGGCACCGACCGATGAGCTCCTGCTTCAAGGCCAAGCACGATGGGTCGTCGCTGAAGATGCCGGCGGGGAGGTCGACATAGCGCAGATTCGGCAGGACGGAGATGGTGCGGGCGATTTCGCTTTTGCTCGCCTCGCGAGTCATGTATGGCATGCGGAGAGAGAGGACCCGATGTCCCAGATCTGACGATTCCCGCACAGTCTGCATAAAGAGTCGGAGTCTGACCTGGGGCGCATCGATGGCTTCCCCGTTGCGATTCAGGAACGAGCGTCGCTTTCGTTTGGCGGATAGTTCCACTTCGAGTTCGCAGTAATGGACGGGGTCAATGCGGACGTGGGAGTATCTAAGCAGGAAGAGATAACTCGTTAGACGTGTGCCTCGCTGAAGTTGATCGCTGGTACCTACAGTAAAGCCCGGGCTTCCAGATACCAGCGCTGACAGACCAAGGCGCAGTGGGCCAGGTCGCGCATGTCACAGAGCATGCAGCCATCCTCGGTCATGGACTCTTCTGATGTTTCATAGCTGTCGTCAACGGTGTGCGGACACACGGCGGCAAAGATGCGATGCAGAATCGGCCGTGGGAGGGATTTGGTCAAGTCTTGGTTGGAGGTCGATCGGGGGTAGGCGTCGACGTCGGTGCGGAGATGGTCGTAGGTGGCCGCATTCCCCGCACTGTGGTTCCTGGAGGAATGTCTGCGAAGTCGGCTCAGAAGACCCATCATGCAAGATCCACCACCGGGAAGGACATGGATCGGGGGAGAACTGAGGGGGGATGAGAAAGGCGAGTCGATGCCTCGCAAAGCTGACACAGAAGAAACCAAGTAAGAGATTAAGACAGACAAGAAGGTGAAAGGACGATCGGAGTTTGGAGATAAAGAAGGCTGAAACGCGGATGGAGACAAGCTAAGCGAGAAGCGGAGAACAAGAAGAGCAAAAGAAGCCGGACAGGATGAGATGAGTGACGGCGAGAACGGGGAGGAAGAGGTATAATTAAGCCCTGAGACTTGTAACGCGAGAGCGGTCTTCATTCGATGCACAAGAGATGCATGCACCCGCCGGTTCGTTTGGATGTGGGAGGCGGGGAGTCGGTGATTGGCATTTCTCGCTGTTTCTCCTCAAGCGAAATGACAGGGTGTCGCCCGCCAAGAGTTCCCTATATTAAGGGCGGGGGTTTCAGGTTGAGTTGGGTGGAGGAGAATGCTTCCGGACACTGAACGGGTGGGTTTCATCTTGCAGGGGTCAGATCAGAGTCAAGTGAGGACAGACTATCAGGATATCTTCCGAGTGGTGAGAGGTGAAAGTTGTTGTTTGTTGGTGTGTTGGAGATGTTAGTGATGGTGATGTTGTTTTCCGAAAGGGGGGTGGGAGGAGGAAAGCTGAGGGAAGAACTTACAAGAGGGAGGACCAATGCGGCCTAGTGTTTACTTCGTTTGCTTGACAATCACAAGATTTTTATTTCCCATGCAGCCATGATTAGAAATGTATTACTTGCTTAGTTATTTCCTTATCCCATAGTCACTCACCCGTTAGACTTGCGAAACATCAGTGAAAATGAGTGAGTCGAAAGAGCATCAGCATCCTAATCAACCCTGAGAATGGGAAATACATTAGACCGCCACTGTTTCTTTGCTAATACTTGATCAGATAGGGATCTTCTGTCCTAAGATTCTAGTAATGATGCCCCAGCCTTTCACAAGATATCCTACCAGCCACAACGACAAACGGGGCCAGCCACGCTTCGTAGTAGCTGCATCACTTGTGCTGTTTCCTTGCCTCACCCCTTTGCTTTGCCCTCTCAAAATAATTTGACCAGCAATATCAAGATCTTTACATTTAACTTTCTTCGTTACATATCATGCTACACGAACCATCGTCGTTGGTCATGAAGCCAATGCTTGCTCGAAGTAAATGCCTTAGTAGGCTTCTTGGGTGACCAAAACATCCACTGTACGGCACAGCACTTCCTAGAGATACAACAAAGTTCCCAACCGAGAAGATTCGGAGACACACTGCAACACCTTCAGAAGGACCATAGAGAAGATATCAGGTCCATACGTACATTACATCCGAGGACGAAGCTTCCATGTAAGATCCAGCCATCGCAGCGATTCCCACAAGGTAGGTTGACAGCCCGATTTATTCATAGTAACAAGCCACTAACCAAAACCACCCACCAGCACCTGCAACCAGCCAGGCCTTAATTAAGCTTATTTACGATGGCTCAATCCTTCACCCCCAGAAAACATTCCAGACCCTTTTTTTCAGTAACAAGTACCTCAACAACCGTCGCAATAATTCTGTCATTTTGCCATTCAGTGTCCAAGGCCCCCCCTCGTCCGTCATCGAATACATCGTCATGACATCATCCGCAGTCCCAGACCCTGCACAGAAAAAAGCCCACGGCAGTCTCTTGTATAAATAGGAGAGACTCAATGAGAGCCACCCGACATTCAGTTTTGTTGTTCAATTGAATGACAATCCCAGTTTCTACTTCCTCTGTGATATGCGATCGACGCCCTTTCGACTCTGGACCCCCATCCTTCGCTCAACCCCCAAGTGTTATCTCCCGGCAGCAGCAACAACAGCCCGCAGCACTCAACTCCCCCGTTTCATCTCAACGACTCACGCCCGCAGGAACTCGACCGGAATGTCGGACAAGCCCGAAGGCACCAAGGACATGGCCCAGCGGCCGCCCTACCAGCACCGGTCCGCCGAGGACTTCGGTGAGGTCAAGTGGCGCGGCAAGTGCCAGTGCGGGCAAGTCAAATACAAGCTCAACAAGGAGAAGCCTCTCAAGGCCAAATTCTGCCACTGTCGCGGGTGTCAGATGACCCATGGTGAGTTTGTTCATGATGAAGCAGAAAGGTGCTGCGGATGATAGCTGACTGGGAAACTCCCCCGCAGCTGCCCCCTTCCAATGGGCCGCCATCTTCCACAAGGAGAACCTGCTCTTCGAAAAGGGCGCCGAGGGTCTGGCATTCTACTCCTCCACCAACAAGACCCGGGAATACTCCCTGCCCACCAAGGTCTTCTGTTCGTGGTGCCGGTCGCCGATCATGGACGAAGGACGGAATGTCTGTCTGCTGTTTCCGGAGTCGATCGAGTGCGGAGACACCGACGCAGAGCGTCTGGAGTGGCGGAAGGCCTTCGAGGTCGAGTAAGTCCCATGTTCTTCTTGTTCGCCCGCGCGGGGGAATTTTAGCTGTAGCTGCTCGTTCCTTGACTAACGCGGTATTCTAGTTGCCATATCTTCTACAGCCAGCGGATCATGGAGATCCCAGATGGCAAGCTCAAGTGGGCTGGGATGGACGAAGACAGTGAAAAGGTCGATGATATGTGCAAGCCCACGGAATGAAGATCGGCGATCGTATCCTTTGGGGCTTTTACTAAACTGTGACCACACTGGACCACGTACACGATTTGGGTCAGCGATACGAGTCAGACGAGTGCATGATAAATGATCATCATGATATGTATATTAGGAAATTCCGATTGATTTGTCATATGTTAGACAGAAAACGTGATCAACATGTGAAGAGACAGTCCAATCACATCCCTTGTAGAAGAAACATGCTGGTGTTCGGAAGGCCGGTGTCAGGCTGGGCGTCGTCGGCTGCCTATCAGGCGCGATGGAAATGTGATGGTGCTGCATGCTCATGTCAACCGATAACCCCGGCCCGATGTCACCCTAGGCAGGGGTCATGCTGGTCAATCAGTCAACGGAATTCCAGAACCCCTGATGTGTGGAAAGCCCGTCGGAATAAATCAACTTTGGAAGTACATCAGTCGGTATAGCGCGGGGTTGGTCAGCCGACGCGACTGATCTGATGATTCGAGATACATCTATAAGACTGCTCTCCGCACAACCACGCAACGATGCCAATAACTAGGGCCCCAAGATCCTCAGCCCAATGCACGTATAGACCAGTCCACGATGTGGCCAGCACGCCGAAGCACCGTGCTCGCGGCGTTGGCCGCCCAAGCCCTAGCCGTCACGCAAATCACGGACGAGGAGATGCGAACCCTGCTGAACCAAGATGACGGCGTCGAGCTTGCGGACCGCTACGCGCCGCTCTGGTTCTTCGGCCAAGCCCTGAACGAGGAGCCCTGCTACCCGACCTGGGCCTTCGGGGGCTCGCCCGACTCGCCCGACGTCTACGACGCGGCGCACCAGACCGCACCGGGGCCGCAATGCGAATACCCCGACGTGGGCTGCGAATGCCGCAACCCGGGCGTCGACGCCGGGAATCCCGGCCCCGCGTCCGCGTTCCCGATCTACTACACCGTGCAGCGGTGCAATGAGACCGAAGTGCGCGTGGTCTATAATCTCTTCTATGAGAAGGACGGGGCCAAGGTGCTCGACCTGATTGACACCGGGCATGACTAGTGAGTGTACCGTTGTGTAGTTGTTTGTCTTTCTGCAACATCTAAGGGCCTAATCTTCGGAGATGTAGTGACTGGGAAAGAGTCATCATTGTGCACTCGCGCGACGCGACCGAGCTGTGGGCGCCTTCGCGCGCCCTGCTGTCGGCTCACAGTGGCTACCACAATCTGGCCTGGAGCCAGATCCATAGCACGCTGACGAGCGAGGAGATCGCGGCTGGCGACGCGCGCGCGCCGGACGGGGTGCGTGGGAATGACCATCCGAAGGTGTATGTCTCGTGGTCGAAGCACGCGCATTTCGACACCAGGGACACGATCTGGGTCGACCCGATCAGCCAGTCCACGGACAATGCATTTCGCAGTGATGATTGGTGGTACTACGTCGAGCAGCAGTACTATGTGAGTCTTCCTTTCGCTTCGTTGATTCTGCTAACAGACAGCGGGAGAAAAAAGATTCGATCGGACAATTCCACCGAGGCAGGGAAAGCCTTGGGCGGCACGGATTGGGGATCGGCGACCAGCAATCCTCCCTCTGTGCAGGCAAGCGTGTGCTCGGCTTCATGAGGAATGGGGCATTGTTTCCTGGAGATGTAGAGTTGCAAAGAACCATAGACTTTCCTTGCCATTTCATGAAGACAATGTCTAGTGTTCAGTGTTGACGCGGCCCAGCCTGTAGTATTGCAGCGATAGATAATGCGCGGATCTCGCGAATGACGTCGACGGGTCTTCCCCACCCGAAATCCGTTCTTCTAGCTAAGTCGCTTCGCTTCAGCTCAAACAAAGTCAACACCACCAACCTCACCTCCTCCCCTACACCTCCATCAATCGCATCGTACGTAACTCTCTCTCAAAAATTCAATTGACCCTTTTCACTCACCCACCACCTACCACAATCCTCCACCAACCCAACAAACCCTCCCCCATAACCCCGCCCCCGAAAGAATCATACTAACCCTCCCCCCATATCCCAAGAAACAAAGCAATGTCCTGGCTCCAAAAATCCTTCACCCTCCCCTCCCGCTCGCGGGGCAGCTACCTCATCACGGACCAGGTGCTGTCCGAGCTGCCGGAGATCCGGGACTACAAGGCCGGCCTGCTGAACCTGTTCGTGCAGCACACCAGCTGCGCGCTGTCGCTGAACGAGAACTGGGACGAGGACGTGCGGGCCGACATGAGCGACGCGCTGGACCGCATCGCCCCCTACGACAAGAAGGGGAACCTGTATCGCCATTCCGCGGAGGGAGAGGATGATATGCCGGTTTGTTTGGCCCCGCCCTTTCTTCTTGGAGACGTGTAGATGGTAGTGGGGGATGGATGTGGGCTGGATGCTAGTACTGGTGATGTTGCTGCAAGAAGAGTGGAAAGAGGCTAATTTGAGGCTGGGGCAGGCGCATATCAAGTCCGCGTTGGTCGGGGCTTCGGTGACGATCCCGATCACGAACGGTCGGTTGGCGACGGGGACGTGGCAGGGGATTTGGTATTTGGAGTTCCGCACGAGTCGGCACTCGCGGAAGGTGGTGGCTACTATCCAGGGTGAGAAGGCGTGAGTTCGAGGGGTCTAATGGTGGGTTTGCTGTGAGGGGTGGTATATAGCTTCGAACCAACCCAGAATGGAGAGATACGAACGATTCTGTGTTCTCGTGTAGTATTGGTGGGAGTAGCTTCTCGTGTGGTATTGATTAAAGTAGCCAAGGAGGTTACATCGACTTTTATGGAACGGTTCGTTCTAACAACTTCATTGTCTGGTACATCTGTACAAGAGCCTGGGGGCCAAACGGGGAAACAACAAGCAAGAAAAGAAAAGTCATCAACGCCAAAGGGAGAAAAAGCAAGCAATTCTTTACCGCTGCTCGAAAGCACCATCAGTCACACGCTGGCTCTCGTTCACCTCGGCGGCATCACCAGTGGGCTCGAGGGGGTAGCTGGTGGCGGGGAGGGACTTGAGGTATGCGCGGTGCTGCTCGTGGGCCTGGAATGTCACCGGGTTAGCACTTTGCAACGGTACAACAGCACGGTAAAATAACATACGAAGGGAAGACCGCAGTAGTTGCAGGTAGCAATCTCGGGCTTGTCGGTGTTGATGAAGATCCGGGGGTGACCGAGAGGACCGCCGCCGCCGTCACACTCAACAACCCGCTTCTTCGTCCAGCGCACAGGCTGCTTGTGGATGAGCTCAATGGCGGCATAAGGTTGGGGCTAGCACAGGATAATGTCAGTCTCCGGGTTGATTTGATATTCCCTTGTCGTTCGCTCCTTCTTGGCTCATCCCAACGTCCTCTCCTGGATCCAATGGCTCGGGATTTCACGGACCTGCATCTCCATTATCGTCTGCTCGAAGCGAGGGCCGACCATGGCCTTCTCTCTGGGTTGCTGGCTGGCAGCCCAGGTGGTGGCCCGGTTGGGAGCCTGGAGCTTGCGGGTGCGCTCCGCGATCTCGGGGGTCTCCTGCAGGGGCTTGTCCCATGCGCCCATCGAGTCGACGGGAGTGGCATTGGTGGCCGACACGTTGGGGACGGGCTTGGAGGGGGTCGGGTCGTTGGCGTGCAGGGTGTTTTCGCTGAGACGAGGGACAGTGGTCGAGTAGCTGGCCCGGGCGACGACCCGAGGGGTCCAGGCGGTAGAAAAAGCCGCGACACGGCTGCGGACGCAGTTCATCATGCTGGGCGAGATTGAGGTCCCAGAGAGGTTGAGAAGAGGTAGGGCGGGGGTGAGGGCGGATGACGACAATGGACAAGTCCGGGTCGATTGCAGGGGACTGGAGGAGGATTGCAATAGTGAGGTTTCCACTACCACCACTCAATGGTGAGAGTCTGCGGGCGGGAGCTGGCAGCAGCGGAATTAGCCAATCGGCGCCGCTCCTGCCGTGGATGCGGTGGGATTCTGCCGCCCGCGATTTTCTTTGCTTTGCAATCGAGTCGCTTTTGCTGGTCCTCAAGTTGCACGTTTCTTTAGGCGGCTGCGGCTTCGGAATTGTCGATATTTTTCTTTCATCTTCACTTCACTTCAGGCTCTGCTCGACCTCATCGCCGTCATGTCTACCCCATCGACACCTGGCGCAAAGCCAGAGAAGACCATGTCTTCTCGTCTTCTGACGATGAAGGTATGTGGCTGACTGCGACCTTTTGTCTCATTTTGCTTGCGCGCGACGCTAACTTGCACAGTTCATGCAACGCGCCGCGGCTGAAAAGTCCACGCCGCAGTCGTCCAGTGAGACTTCCACTACGCCGATCTCGAAGCGTCAAAGACTTTCGACTGGATCGGTACAAAGCCCATCGACCCCTCAATCGGACATGGATGCTGTCGCAGCCGCCCTGGCTGCCGAGGAGGAAAAGCGGAAGGAGGCGCTCGCTCGACAAGCCGCGGAGTCGGGTGATACGGAATGGGTCCTGGATTACGGGTTCGACGCACCTGCACCCCAGCCGTTTATCGTGGCCGACAGCTCCTTGGATGCGGATGATGACGATATGGTCTACGGTGGTCGACAGGCCTATGGCAACTACAAGCGAAAGAAGAAGAGCGCGGTCAGTGCTAACGGTCTCTATCACATGGCAACAGTCGATGCATACTAACACGCATAGCAGTCCGGGGGAGATGAAGAGGAATCTGATGAGGATGACGACAGCGAAGCTGACCCTAACGATATGGACGCCATGATTAAGAAAGCAAAGAAGAAAGCTCAAAAGAAGGAAAAGAACAAGCCTCAGCCCGTCAAACTGTCAGCACTGACGAGTATTTCCGGAGGACGCCATGGAGGCGGCGGCGGCGGCGGCGACAAGAAACAAAAGAAACGCAAGCACAAATAAATAAAACATGCATCGCGACACAGTGGATCATAAATCATACATGATATGGACTTTTATCGAAATTCTGTGGACCTGGCAATTCTTCCGTGGATACTCACAGTTCATGGCGATCTTATGGATGGTTTGGTCAAAGCAGGGAAGAACGACTGTGTCAACTAGTTCTCCGTCACCAGAATTCGTCATCCTGCAGCAACCAGCTCGAAACCTTGCCGTTCACGGTCTCATTATCTGGGACATTGTCATCGTCTGCAGTTCTATAGAACCGCACTCTGCGTGGAGACTCTACAGGTGTACCGCGCCCGGCCTCCCCGCTCCTCCTGCTGCTGGTCTTGCTGCTAGGCTGCCTGCTGTGTGATGAGTTGATCACGATAACATCTCTTCTACTGGGTCCCGTCCAGGTGGATTTATCCCGATGGGAAGGCAGTGCTGTGGGCTTTTTCAGGTTCCGAGAAGCTCGGATATCTATAATGCTCGATTCGTTGGAGTGGTGGGGTCTGCGCACTTTATATAGTCCATTAGGCATTCTTTCAAGAGTGAGGATCCGTGGTGCTTCAAGGTGGCACTTTGATTGGGGTTTTGGCGCAGCCTCTTCGTGGCGTTCGTCTGGGCGAGGACTTTTCTGGATCTCGATATGGAGGTTGGTCTTCGCTCTAGCAGGATCTGATGCGACTGGTATGTCTTTACAAGTCAGAAGGCGGCTCTTTCTCATCAATGGATATGTTCCAACCTCGTTCTCGAACTGATGAGTGACTGGACGATGCTTCCGCTTCGCGAACACTCTGGATCACATATCCTGGCGGCAGAAGGATCCTGGTAGCTGTGGGATCTTGTTGACGTCGCAGACTTCGCAGCCGGCCGTTCCTGGACTCCACCCAGCTTTCGTAATCCGGGGTCAAGCCGCAGAGTCCCATATGGTTCGCAGCGAGCATAGAAAGTGAAACACGGCGTTCTGTTCTGGATGCAGTCAGTCTGGAGAACCATGGGAATCTAGAAACTCTGCTTCAATTAGCTGCTTTCAAATATGCATACCTGACGACAAAAGCCAACACTCAATAATTTCTACGGCACTGATGCGTTGGAGTTCAAGTCATGATCGGGATATGAGGACGGCGTAGTCCCAACCTGCCTAACTAGGAAATCACATGGCAAAACCAGCGTCTAAGCCAGGCCATCACCTCAGATGCAGCAACTGAACTACCACCTGGCAGGTAGTAACTCATCTCGCAGGTTTCCAAACAGTCGATAAATAACCAATTCGCTACCAGAACACAAACCCAAGCCCAACAATACATCCACAAAAGCATCAACCGAAAGTCTAGCACCATACACACAGTAACCCCAAACGCCGAGAAAGCCTTCACTTTAGCAAAACCAACACCACCAAGCCATCACCCAAGTAATCTCCCTCCCCCTGCCCCCTCAACCATCCAGCCCATCAAATCTTCGCCCTGACCCTCTCCCTCTCCCTCTCCCTCTCCCCGGCCTCCCACCCCCTCCGTCCCCAAAAATTCACACCAAGATTCCACAGCGCCGCCACGACCCCAACGGGCGGCAGCACCAAGAGCACCCAAGCCCACCACCTAGGACTGGACGCCTGCACCACGTCCAACGCGCGCCGTACCTCCCCCTCCAACTGCCTCTTGTCACCATCATTCCACACCACCAGCCCCCTGCGCCGGCCCCTCCACTCCGCGCGCGCCGCCTTGGAGACGACATCGCCCTGACTCCGGACGCGATTCTCGGCCTCCTCCACCGACAAATGCGGGTCGCGGGCGCGGAGCCGCTGCATCTGCACGGCCGGGTCGCGCACGCCCACCACCACGACCGTGCCGCAGATCAGATCCATCCCGCTCTCGAACAGCAGCGGCACGTCGAGGACGACGGCCCAGTGGCCCCGCACGTAGTAGTACGCGAGCGCCTTGTAGACCTCGCGGCGGACGAGCGGGTGCACGATCTTGTTGAGGATCATGCGGTCGCGTTTGCGGTCCTCGGTTGTGCCGAAGACGCGGCGGCCTAGGGCGAGGCGATTGAGGGGGCGGGGGGCGCTTTCGCTTGTGGGGGGAAGGGTGTCATTGGGGGATGAGGAGGATGGGGAGTCTGGGGACGGCGGGAGGAGGAGGTCCGGGGTCGTCGGGCCGAAGTAGTTGACGATGGCTTTGTAGCCTTCCGTGCCTGGTTCGACGACTTTGCGGGCCAGTAGGTCCGTGTCGATGATGGGCAGGGAGTAGGGCGGGGAGGAGAGGAGCGAGGAGACGGTCGATTTGCCGGTGGCGATGGAGCCGGTCAAACCGATTATTAACATCTTTGTTTTGCGGTCTGTAGGGGGGGGGCTGTGGTGTTGGGGTTTGGTGATTGTTGTTTGGGTCGGGTGGTTGAGGTAGACGGTAACTAGGTAGGAGAGTGGTGGTTGTTTGAGCCTTGGAGGTGAGGATTTGTTGTTCCGGGGACTTGCGCTCGCGCGGGGAAAGCTCCCGGTTCCGCCGCGCTGCCTCGGCTGCTGTAGTTTTGGTGGGGGGAGGTTCTACTCTGTGTGTACAAAACAGGGTTTCAGGCTGTAAGGTTACATATTGGGAATTTGAAGGAACTAAAGGCTGAATGTATTATAAGAGTGGGTACTTTTTATTCATATGAGAACATTTGACATCATCGCATCACCATCACCACACCTCATCAGTCAGCGCGGGTTATGGCTTAGTCCCTATACTGGCACTTCCAGCGCGAGCTGACAAAAAGTCGGGTCCCAATTATGGTATGATATATGTACAGAGATGGCATCTTTGGGGGTATTGTCCTCCCCAATTCATAGATGGAGAGAGGGCGATTGATGCCACGGACGGCAGAAATCGCCGGGCCTTCGCTCTTCCAACCGGGGCTTGATGGCCCGTCTCAATCAGACAGGCCGGTCTGTTGCTCAATGCAGTGGACACCGACATGTGTATACTCAGGCTGACCACAGATCGAGACGTATTGCTTGGCATAATTTCCCTGGCGATCACACTGGACTTAGTGCGCCTATGTCTCAGGTAGCCCCTTGCTGGGGTCTTGTTTCTGGCCCTTCCAGCCGATGTACGGCCATCCTTCAGGTAGAGACGAGTATGGCGGGAGAACATAGCGGCCAGCGCACTCTCCCTCGGTAGGGCAAACCAGGTTACACAAGCCAAATACCCTGCAGTAGCATTCTTCAGCCGTCGGGCAATGGACAGGTCCTTTGCCAAAGATCACTGCCTGCATGTTAGTCTCCTGCATACAGCCACTAATGACAGAGGGTCAACATACTGTGCCATGAGTACTCCATGATACGTCCGCTGAGATCATCTGGGAGTTTGGTCTCCGTCAACCACTTCTTGAATCGTTCATAATCCTTCTTGGGCCGTTGTCTGATCTTCCAGCTGGTGACTGCAAACTGCGCGCAGCACGAGACCCCCACTTCCTCCGGAACCTCCTCCCCGGGGAAGAGCTCCTTGAATCCGTTCTTGAAATACTCTCCGACATGGACGTCATCTCGATGCGAATCGGTGTACGGGTGGATCTCCGCCGGGCAGCCGAGGATCCAGGCACAGCGTAAGTTAACGTAGCCTTGTTTCTGCAGGTAGGGAAGCTGGAAATTGCGGAGGACCGGCACCCCGTCGTAATAGGGATCGTCATTATGCCATTGATATCTCTGGGGGTGGATGAAGAGGATCGAATCGGGAAGGTTGTCGTAGTTGTCAATGATGTATCTAGAGAAAACTCCTGTTAGCACCGGCTTCGCATCACCCCGAACGATTTTCAAGACCCACGTTAGATAGACCATGGATTCCCGGCCCTTGTTCAGCTTGACTGTCAAATGCGCCTTTTTGTCGTCCACGACATAGATGCTCTTGTGCCATTCAGGAAAATACTGGTACAGCCATGAAACATCGTCAGTTTTCATGCTGGCCACCACCATCTCCCTGTCTAGGGTTTTAGACACTCGCGCGGCCGATGCAGACGGCGCAGCCTGCCCGGAGCGCGAATCGCGGAACGGTCCGCCTTTTGACACCGCATCGTGGGCCGATGTATCTATATGTGCATGTTCGGAGCTTTTGGAGAAGAAGAGGAAGTATAGCGCGTAAACGATCAGGATAGTGCAAAGGATGGCCTTTTCTTGGCTGCGGCGGCGCGGGCTTGAGACTCCGCTGCCGAAGAACAACATGGTTGCGACCGGCGGCAGCGTAGAGGTGACACACAGCGGACGGGATACAGGAGCATATGCCGGTGGTCTCTATGGTCGCAAGCAACGATTGAATATTCGAGTAAGTGACGTTTCAATGCGCAGAAAGCATGGCTGCGCGAAGGCCGATCGCTGAGCTGTCGGGTCGGTGTGTTGCGGAGCGGGCAACAACTCGGTTCAGTGGAGCTCCGGGGGTTTATGGGAATGCGCAGCGGTGGATGAGAGGAGTTTGCGGTTGTAGATGACACTTTCAAAGTGATGAGGAATTGCGTTGTCCTTAAGGTAGTTGAGGTTCAAAGAAGAAGCGAGTTGGCGACAGCTGGCAGCTTATGTTGCCTAGAAGAAGAGGAGGTGGTGTCAAGCCACATGGTGGTTTCACTATTGGAGACATTGTGCTCCCTCTCCGTGGTAAACTCCATCAGCAATGCTGCTTGGCAGTAATCGGTAGAATGATTGGCCGAGTCCGCACCGGGTCTGGTTTGGTGGTCGCTCCCGGGCTCGGCTCAGCCCTACTTCCAGCCCATCAACATATAACTACTACTACAAGCAGTTGTATACACTAAAGTACAGACAGTATGTTTTGATCATCTATCAAGATCATGGATCCCTCCAGCTCTTTCCAAATTCGACCGCCCGCATGAAATGCAGAATGTATATCAACACAAAAGCCACACAGGCCAGCCCTGCCACCACAGCGGGTAAGAAAATCGAGAAGACACCAAAAACCACAGATGCGTTCTGCATATTCTGAATCCCTTGGAATTGGTCGGTGGCTAAGCAGAGCTGGAAAGCGGCAAGCAGCGTGCTCACATATAAGAACGCCACGAGGGACCACGCGAGTTTCTCTCCAAAGAAGACGGCATACTAGTCGTACATGGAGAGATAGCCTCCAAGGAAGCTCTCGAGGGAGAGGTGGGTCAATCGATAGATGGTGTTCAAGCGAAACAGGCGAAGCTCGCCATAGCGATAGCGCTTGTTGACATTGGCATAGCCCTTGAAGTCAACGTGGGAAAGGAGATCTTCCACGAAGACCGTCCATGCCTGCCAACTGACCGTGGTTGGAATCAGTTTCAGCTCATGTGCAATCTGCAGATCACTCGGATGACTGATCAACCACGTATAGGAAAGAAGGAAGCCCGAGGCAGCCGAGTGGAGCGCTTCGTGCCGAATGTGGCGGTCCCAGAATTGGTGGTCCAGGAGATAGCGTGGTACGGGTTTGAGGAAAATCCGCGACTCATACCAGACCATGTGGAGATCGGCCTGTTCGGTGATCACAATCTGTCGGTCAATCATCCGCTGTCGATGCAGCGCTTGACAGCAGCGTGCCCGACCCGCGTACCACAGATGTGAATGCATCGCGTTCAAGCGCGAGACATCCAAATCGGCCAACACGAACGAACTCACATCGTGATCAGAGCTTCGAGCGATGCAATGACTTCGTCCGTGACTTGTTGCCGGTAAGACGATATTCCACGCCTTGCCTCCGCCAGCTAGGTCCGATGAGATGGTTTGAGAAAAAGGCGGGGATAGCTTTCAACATCATGGTCAGTCAATGGTTTTGAAAAATCCTTACCACCCAGAGCTCAAAGAGGCCTTTGGAACCCACCGTGTGTTTGTATTCCATTGGTAAGTGGCTTGGCTTAGAAGCTCCTTTCTTGAGCAAGCGATCTCCGCCACCAAGGTACTAATTCGAGAGTAGCCAGGGCTATCATGCGCAGGAATTCAGATAATGAGGAATCTGAACATGAAGCCCTAGAAAACTTGGTACCTGAGGAGTATACACGGATAAATAAATACACATTCAGTACGGGAGTATTTCGTAGATCAGGCAGAAAAGTCGACGAGGTGGAGGGCCCCTACATGTGACAGAATAGGCGTCTGTGATGAACTTGCAGCGGTCCTAGGCCAGAGATATGGGCCATATGAGATGGAGATGTGGGCGTGGGAAACTGTCATTTGTCCAAAAGACGCACCAATGCATGGTACTTTTGTATAGTTATAGACCGTGGACCCATGCATCGATTACCACTTGCGGGTGGGTCCATCTAGATGGACATAAGTGCCTTAAGATGCCTGCTGACGTTCTCTCGCTCTGAATATCTTCCATGGCCTTTGAACCGCCACTTTGTCCTTCGAAGCCCCCTCATAAAATATAGCCCTTGCTACCATGTCAGAACGCAAGCGATCCCGTATGACGTACCGAGTTGAGCAGATTCCACACAATTGGACAGCAGACAGGTTGAGCGAGGCTTTTGCTCCCGAAGACAGAGAGCTCCTGAGCATCAAAAGCCTCGTTCCAGATGTCATGAATTGTGGTGGATGACCCGGCCAATCAAATAAAATGACAGCAACGATTGATTTCTATTCCCAAGAGGCTCGAAAGCCGATGCTGAGCGATCCTGAAGATACTGATCTTGTTGTTGGGAAGGATTTCCTCGGTTACACTCCATTGAATCACCCTAGGGGTGAATGTGTTGCAGAGTAAGTCTCCATAGATAATACACGAGGTTGGTGTATAGCAGCCAGTTGACACAAAGAGTCTTACTCTACTAGCGTCATTGCTGTCACGGGCTTAGCAGGGCATGCATTCGGCTCATGGAGGCATGAAGATGGCAAGATGTGGCTGCGGGACCTCCTTCCTCAAGATCTCCCTGCAGTACGAGTGATGATTTATGGATATTCCGCCCAGGTGCAAGGAGCCACTCAGGCCACAAGTATTCTTGAGGATCATGCGGAGACCTTTCGACAGCGGCTATTGTCATTTCGCCGCTTCGAGCCCGTAAGTGACTGGATTGTACTCTCTCGTCGTGCACTACATGCATTCATACTGACACCCGCTGGAGTGCCAGAAACGTCCACTTATTCTGATTGTCAGTCCATTTGACCCGCGAGTTGGAGAAATCTGAGACTTCTGACACAACGAGGCGTCACACAGGGCCATAGTCTAGGTGGCTAGGTCATCAAGGAGGTTTGCTCCCAATGTTTCAAAATATCATGCGCTGCGCGTGCTTGGGCTGTCTCTCTCGCTCTGACTGACTCTTCCATCTCTCTAACAGTTTATCGCCAACCTAGACGAATCGCAGCGCAGCCAAGTGTCCATTCGATCTGTGCTGTTCTTCGGGGTTCCGCATCATGGACTAGTCCATGAGTCTCTTCAAACTATGGTCAAAGGACAGCCATCTTCAACCATTGTTGATCAGCTCAAGCCAGGTTCGCCAACTCTACGTAAACTAGACGCGGCCTTTTGCAAAGCGACTGTCTTGACTCACTTTTCAATACACACATTCTATGAGAACCAGGAAACAAGAACTGTGGTTGAGGTGAGTTTCGAATTACGACTCAGAAGTTCATGGACCTGCCAAGTAACCAGAATCAGAATGAGACCCGGAAATGGGTTCGGGAGGGTGCCCCAGTCAAAATGGTGTCTTATGATTCGGCCGTCCTGAAGCTTCCGTCGATAGAGAGTATACATGAGGTACAAGGAAATCATTCTTCTATGGTGAAGATCATAAGAAGCCAGATTTATTGTTACTTTGACGTGGTTCAATGCATTCAAGAAGCTCTGCAAGGCACCTCAGGGTCGTTCCCAAGCACACGGCCTGCCTCATCTTCGAGGGACATGCAGAACGGGCGATTTCTTCAACAGGTTTTTGGCGATCGATCTGACTCAAAATCAGGGTCAGATGTGTTCGCAAGCAATTTCAAACTCCCAAGCTCTACCGACATGCTTCCACCTCCTACAGATATACGACAGTCGAAAGAGCCTTTCAGCTATTTGCCCTCTCACATGAACTCTCTCGATCTGGCGCCGGGTGGAGCTCCTCGAACATTCGAAAGACCCCAGTCCTCCCAAGAGCTATCTTGTTCGTTGAAATCCCTAAACTTGGCACCAGATCAAGTTTCACTGTCCTCTCAAGGACCTCGGTCTTTCCAGGAACTACTTTCTTCATCTAAGTCTCCTGTTTTGGCGCCGAATGAAGCTCAAATGCAATCTCAAGAACCGCAACCGATGGGGCCTTATAGTCCTGTGTTCAACCGGGGCAACTTCCCTTATATGACAGCATCTCTGGATCAAACTAGCACTCACAGACAGCAGATTGGAGAGAGGGCATCTTTACCACACACTATCGTGTGCCCATTAGGTTTCACTTCGGTCACACCGATGCCTGTAAATCTGACGTGTGATTTTTGCGGGCAGTCAATCGCTGATGCCAAGTGGATCCACTGTCTAGTCTGTTTGGATTTTTGTCTACACATGCACTGCCATCAGCCAGCAACTGAGATGAAAGGGCATGTACACAGAGTCTTTACTGCCCGCGGCCCAATCCTTACCTCGCAGACCACAGGTCCGTTACCAGAACCAGGGTTCAACCCTTCATGCATGACAGGTCATCTTATTTCATCCCAAGCGCCAAATTTATTGCTTTCTTGTGAAGGATATCCCTCGAGCCAAGTACCGTGTCATGCTTACGATAACCATACGATTTCTTTTACCTGGCAGAGTTTCGTCATACAATGCTACAATACGTGCTTGCATGGGTGACCCAAACAATATTCATGACTTCGGGGGCTCATCGCTCCGTTCATATGGCCCGGATATTCCTGCTGAGAATCTATTTCAAGTCGCTCTGCCCTCAACGAGAAAGCATCAGGTGCGCCTAGATGGCGAGCAAAATCTCGACCACTATTCATTTGACATGGGCTCAGAAGGAGACAAATTTCTCATCTCCAATCCAAACGGTGATTTGGCGGTGGCTATCGAGCTCAGCGGGTTTCCAGAGGCACATATGCAAGATGGGCCAAGCCAGCCTGCATTCGATCTAGCCATCGAGGGACTCAAGTAGGTTAAGATCAGTCACCTGTTTCTAAAGCGATACTGATCTGGATACTATCTAGCCTAATCCCGGTGGCGGAGGATCGGGAGGCGCAGAGGACGTCAATAACCAAAAACCTTTATGGAATGGTCAGAAAGTTCCTCGGCTAATCAATGCTCTGGGGTTTAGAGTAAATGGAATCCACCGTGTCCCAATGTCCTAGGAGTTCGACGAAATAAGTACAGTCTCTCCATACAGACTAACAAGAGTCTAGCCTCACGGTCAGGGCTCTGGAGTCTGCATTCTACAAACTAATCAGCAGCGGAAACAACTTACGGCGTAAGAGGACACCCGCGAGGGGCGAGCGAGAAAGCATTTTCTAGAACACTCGACGCGCCGAAAAAGTGTTCTGGGCGCAGCAAAGGGAAGTCATCCTAGTTCGGTGCAGTGTCGGCTATGATAGTTGCATATCGTTGATGAGAACAAGATCAAGGATCGGGGTGGTAGTAGATCGGGAGGCAGTACAGTATATATGGATATGGTTCCCTTGGAAATCATATGGCAGTTAGCCTTAATATTATGAGTATATTTCCCTGAATCTCTTGTTATTCGAGTGTATAGACGTGCTGATGCAATTGATCGGTCTTCTTGACTCTTGAAACCTGCCAGAATACCTCTCTCCCCCTACCTCTGGTCTTGAATTGGCTTTCCATGTTGAGAGAAGAAAGAGGACTGTTGGGAATGCTTGTAGACGTGCTGCATTGCGTCGTCTGTCGGTTCTAATAACCATTTTCATTATTTCAGGCATTGGATAGGAGCACAACAGGTATATATTCAAGTTTGTAGTATTTTAGATATACTCCGTAAATGATTATGTCTTTCCCGCGACACTTACTCTGTAGATCCACCAACTCGAGTACTTATCGATTAACATTTTCTGATATCGAAAAAGAGTCCGGGATTCGTCTGTCCAATTGTAGCCCTTCAGAAATCTCAAGAGGAGCCTTTTCGCTGTATTTGCTAAAGCAATCGTGCCTGTGATGACTGTCATTCACCAACACATCAGAGTATGTGTAGTGTTAGTACCTCTTGACTGAGGGCATCAACACCTTTCCTTCTTCAACAAGCACTATAACGTCCCAGACAAACAGAGATGACATGTGTTAGCGGTCCCAAGTGGTGTAACCACGTGACACATACATTTTGCTTCCCACCACCTCAAGCCAATCCTCTACATCATCAACCACACATCCAACAACATCAAGACACCAAGGAATTGTTATCAAGAGGCTATCTTGAGTAGCTTCATATCGCACACTTCATGCATCATATATACTCATTGCCCTATATACCCAGATATTTTCATACCTCACATATTCACAACGATCAACAAGTGCCAATACTGATGAAGTACCACAGGTGCGCCAGCACGCTCGTGATATTCTCCCCCGCGTTTCCAGCAGAAGAGTCAACACCCTGGATGATATCAATATCCGACGAGGTCACTGCAGCGCCAGTTCCGCTGGTGATCCAGTATTCGGGGCTCGGGTGACTATAACCAAGCAACCTGGGTGGAAGCCTAGGCACGACGTCATTGAGGTGAGTCACTCGGAAATTCGAGCCAGAGCCTTTGCTCGTGATATAGTTGGCCAGCGCCGTGTTGCCGACTCGTGGAGCTCCGTAGGAATACTGTCTTTTCGTCAGCAACAGAACGTTTCATTGTCATCAGCTCCTGCCGCATGAAGAAACCCACCAGTTGAACGGAGTATCCCGCATTCCGCAGCACCGTCGCGCCAATGGTCGCCAACGCGCCCCCCAGACTATGCCCCGTGAACACCAGGCTATAGCCGGGGTACGCAGTGACCGCAGACGCGATCTCCGCTGTCAGGGTGTCTGCAACGGAGCTCCAGGCCTTCCAGAAGCCCTGGTGAACCTGGCAGCCACTGCAGACCGCGCTGGCATCCGTGAAGATAAAGTCCAAATTGGCTATCCAGTTCTCAATCGAGCTGCTTCCGCGGAACGACACCACCAGTTTCTTGTTGGTGGAGTCAACCACGAGGAATCCCGCTGTATCGCCGTAGGAATCGGATCTACACGTGCGCAATTCAGTCAGTCCAATTCTGTTTCACACATCCGCGCGTCACATCCAGGCAAGGCAGAAACATACGCCTCGAACTCGGCCAGGCTCTTCGTTGTGGCGGCTGCGAGTAACGGACAAAGTCCGTTCGTGCAAGTCACGCTCGTATTCGGAGAATCGAGGTTGGTCGAGCAGTACGCCGCGGCGGAGTACTGCGCGAACAGATCCAGCTGCGTGTAGACGGTGGTTGAGACATCTGCAATTCGACTTCATCAGCACTTTCTCTTCTTCCATCACCTATCTTGCGATTGATCCCAGGTACAAACTCACCTCGAATATCGACCGGAGCAGCCACAACCAAAGCCGCAAGAGCGGCCACCACTCCGCCCAACCGATTGATATATACCATACTTGCAGGTCGGACTATATATACAATACAACCAATTCAGACCAGGTCGACTACCAAAACGAACAAGCAAGGAGCAGCGTCAATGGTACTGGAAAATCGGCAGGCGCAGACGCTTCACCGATACTGGCACATCCAAAGCACAGAACGAAAAGAAACCCTCCTATCCCTCTCGCCCCATGACTCTTTATATACAGTTAGCACTCCGTGCCAATTCGGCCCCTCCCCCTTTCTTCACGCCGAGGCCAAGAAGCGCAAAAAGGAAAAAAGAAAAAAGAAAAAACCCCTCCACCAGCTCTTCAATCAGAACGCCAGTGAAGACCTCCAGCATTCCGCAGAGAAGAGACAGAATAAGCGGGGTAGGGGAAAAAAACAACAGAAACCCCCAAGCACATCACGAACACCCTCTATTCCTACCCGGTGGTTGGCTCCACCTCCCTATCCTAGCTCCAGAGAGAGACAGACGCATCCCTCCGGAAGAAACGAGTACTTGGCCCCGGACACTCCGGCGTCAGCGTCAAAGGCATAGAAAGGAGGGACTCCTGCGCGGACTCCGTTGTGTTCTGGAATGCCGGGCTCCACCACCCCCACAACGAAGGATATCCACCG